GCATCGTGGCGGCCTTTCTTTGCTCACTCGTGTACACGGTGCCTCGCAGCGAAAGAAGGCGAGTCTGGTGCTTATTTTTTGCACGCCCCAAGTCGGTCAGAGAAGAGGTGACCCCTGGAGTTCCATTTCTGGTTTTATGTTCCCTTTCTTGGAAGACCAGAAGAATGGAATTGGTAGACTCCCCACCCCCCTGCTCCCCAAGGTAGGGTGATGAGGGATGGTATTTGGGCAAATTGAATCCCGACATCTCTCGGGTCTACGCATGTGCGGCAGATTCACTTGTGGTTGGTTTCCTTACTTGATCCCTTCTTTGGTGCGAAAGTCAACTCAGAATTCGGCCAGATCTGCTCTCTCGAATCCACCAAAGGTTCCCTCCCCGAAACCTTCCAGTTAATGTTGAATCTGGAGTTGATGAAGGTCAACATGAGGTGCCCTGAGCAAAGCTTGGTTCAAAATGGTGGCCCAATGGTATTCACGAGTCAGCGACAAAGATCTTGCTGGTGCAATCTCGGCAGGGAATGAGACATGGAACCCCAAGATAAACCATCCAACTGGTGGTTTCCTTTAAGGGAACTGGGTACATTCCCACATTCCATACTTATCGCACCAAGAGATATTCACCTTCCAAAAGCATGGCCAATACAGTGCCCCACCCAGTTCTCGGAGAACCGGAAAGGAAAAAGCTTAAAGCTGTGATGTTTTCCAAGCAGATGGACACGAACACCTGTAGAAATGTTGGGATGCCAGATGGGATGGTTGGTTGCAGCATAACCAGGCACAGGTATGGTTGGTTGCCATTGCGGATCCTTGAGTGTGGTTGGATTTGTAGCTTCCGCCCAAACTGCTTGCGTTTAGCCTATCATTCACTGAGGCGCTGCTCGCCAGCAACAAACAGCTGCAGTCTTTGGACTGGCCTTATTTCTTCATCTCCGGAAGCGCGGCTTTGCTGGTGAGTCTCTTCAATTTGGCGCATCTGTGGTGGCGGAGACTTTTGCATGTGCCTTCTGACGTGAAGTGGGTCTCTTGTCTACAGGCACTGCCCACTTGTACCCATGGCTTTGAGCTATGACCTTCACACCTCGCATGTTGGGATCTGAAAAAAAACAGTTGAATCCCTTACCTGGCCCCCTGCTTAATTATAGTACCAATCTACAAACCGTTTTGGATGCGCCTTTTGTGGATTTCGCCTGTTCTTCCCCCTGTTGGTCCCTTTTTCAGTAATCTTTTAGTACTCTTTTAACCTTCAAACCAGGGGTGGAGCAGATTCGCCACATCCAAACCTTACTAGTACCAGGGGTTGGAATTTAAGTCTTGGGTCCCAGGGGTTGGCACCAGACACGTTGCAGGCAGAAAGCAAGGCAGACTTCACATGGTGAGAGCTTCGGGAGGTCTGTGCAACTGTTTACTTGTTCAACTCTTCGCAGAAGGAGAAGATACCCTTCCAATGAACATGACAGGGGTCCCTTTAAAAGGAAAAAATGTCTTCCAGGCCCCTCGAACGTCAGGTTCCATGTCAATTGGTGGGAGAAGTACCGTGGTTTTGCATTGCTGGGAGCCAGTGGAACGCCGCCCAATGGTAGACATTCAACGTATCTACTTTCGACAAGCATCCAAGGGGGCAGATTCTCCACCTCCATGTTGCGCACCTACGATCTGTTTGTTTTTGTTTTTTTTTTGCCGGGGGGGGGAGGTCGTCAAAAAGATGGTTCGCGTTTTCACCCTGGCGCCGCCTTGTGCTGCCGTTTAAAGGGGAGAAAGAGGATCCCTAATTTTGATCCCTATTTTTTCTTCGTCCTTTCTTTCGCCCTCGAATCCGCGTTAGGTGATTTTGCGCGGAAGCCTCGGCAGCACGAGCAACTGTCTGAGCGTCTTTGCTGTTCTGGCAGGGGCTCATGTGGGTTCCATCGCTGCCTTGCGGAGCGCCAACTCCATTGTTGCCTCCTTGGGAGTCTCGGGCCGGAAGATGGAAATAGATGGAAGATGCGGGGTGTCCCCCCAATCTGTGGTCCTCTAAACTTCCTTTTGCTGAAGAATATTAACATTGGCATGTTGCTGTTTTTTTTGGTTTCAAAAGGAAGCTATTACTACTGGACATAGACGTTTTCCGGGTAGCTTAAGCACATGAAAGTTGTTGGTTTCCAACCAAATGGGGGTTCACCATTTTGAGAAACACGACTGCCGAAGTGAGGCTAGCCTTGAAAGAGGTGCACAATAATTTGTCTGGGTTTAATTGGGTGTCTCCTCTATTTTTCCTTTTTTTTTTAAGAACACCCACACACACACACACTGGGGTAGACAATATGAAGGAGAATCTGAACATATCTTTTTTCGTGGGGGGCCAGAAATATGATTGCGATTCCTCACCTTTGGCGCAGGAGTTTACCTTTTGATACTCTTTAGAGGTTACGGCTGGAATGGGAAGCTCTTTCTAATGCTGCAACCATAATTTGTTGGGTGGTGGGCCCCTTTTGGTTGAACTTTCAGCGAGACATAGGAAACC